AAAACCGTAACATGCCATAGAAAGAAGTTCACTACCTGTAAAAGGACCGATTCAATGTGCTAGATAAAGCTTATGTTCAAAAGAATTGTAGTCACAGAAGAGTCTGTACTTAAACAGGAGTGCCTCTTCATATTGCTATAAAAACACATCGATAAAATTGGTTATTTTTCTACACGCTTTTTCTGCCATTTGTTTAATATAAGATAATTATAACTTTGCCTCAAGAAACAGTGTATAATTTCTGTGTATTCAATTAAGTGCATTCACTCAGATCTCTTTGTTGTTCACGTACTGCAATAGTAAGAAATGCTCTCTAGGTATCAGGAACTAGTCCCACTTTGGGAGCTCAGTAATGTATCAAGAAGTCTGCCATACTGGAGTCGGCAGCGGAACTGAAAGTGCAGTCATTCATGGAAGGGCATTGCATCTGGTACTGTTGGTGGAGGGTGGAGGGTGGATGGTGCTTAGGAAGAATGCATCTTTGTTGTCGTTGGATTCCACCTCGAGGCTGAGATTTTTTGGTCTTTGGCTAATAGCCATGCCACTCTTCATGCTTTCATAGGGTAGTCAGCATCAGCTGGTCACGAGGGTGTCCTTTCATGGGTGTTGCTGTCCTAGCTGTGAGGGTGCCCCTTGCTTTCAAGAGCAGAAAGAGAAGTGGACTTGTGTAGAAATTGTCCACATGGAGATGATGATTTGAGTGGTGGAGATCTTCTGCCAGTTTTTTTGTAAATTGCCAGCATCCCATTCATCCTTTCCAGCACACATGGTGAAATTGTTGCACTAGCCATTCTTTGCATTCCACGACTGAAAGAGTTTACACACATATACACACATACATACATCTATTGAAGCTCCCCACAGGGGCTTTTCAGCCACAATGTAGAAGGTAGTCATTAATTAACTACTTGCAATAGTATCAACATGGACATAAAACTAGAATAANAAACCACCAAATGGACCATATGGTCCGTCGACATGTATACATGGTATTGGAAGTAAGAATAATTGTTAAAATGTCTTTAAAACTGTTTCTACAACTTAAACATCATTGTAAAGGAAATCTTAATTTAATTTGAAGTAGAAAAAGCTTTTAAAATACATCAGTTAGGCAGTTGTGTGCCACAGTTCAAAACACTCAATAGTCAGAGGAACATTGCACTTTCCACAGTAAATACGGCCACGGCTTCCACAGCCACAAGCACAGTAACCTCTTTGTTCTCTTTTCTTAGGCCAATGTTCTGCCTTGTCAAACCTTGGTCCTGGGAGTCCAGAGGGCCTCCCAACTTTCTTTCTTCCTGTAAATTTTCCACACAGAGAGACCACAAGCTCATCTCTGAACACCTTCTGCTTTCTTGAGTTATGATCTCCCCTGAGAAAACACTCACAAATCCATGCATTGACAATTGCCATGTCCAACATCTGCATAAACACAGGCATCCACCATTTACTAGACTTCCTAGAACATTTGTAATATGACAGATGTTGATCATTTGTATCCACTCCTCCCATGTACTTGCGGTAGTCCACCACGACTGAGGGACACTGCTTGATAACACCTTCCACATGACCTTTCTCTTTTCTCCTGACATCTTCTACCCCTGGCTTTGCCATAGTAGACAGCACATATACATCCTTTGTATCCTTCCACTTCAGTGCAAAAAATCTTGGTTCTTTCATCATCCACTTACTCTCTCCAGTTTTGAGTCTGGCCATGTGAAGTTGATGAGGAAACCCCACCCGGTTTGGTCTGGTCGTCCCAGTACAAAAGATTCCTTGCTCAAGAAGTGAACTGGCTAATGACAAACTTGTATAAAAGTTATCAAAGTACAGCTTCCAGGGAATACCCCTTGGAAGAGAAGTACAAAGATCAAGGACAACTTTCTCTCCAAGATTTGCTCCTGGATTATCAGTTTTTCCAGTATAAATTTTGAAGTGGAGAAGGTAGGCCCTAACTGAATCCACTAACTTCCAAACCTTGATACTCCATTTGGTAGGTTTATCTTTCATGTACTGTTTGAACCCAATTCTTCCCTTGAATGGAATCATTCCCTCATCTACACTGTTTTGCTGGTGTGGTGTCCAGTTGTCCTGAAAATTTCTGTTGAGAATATTCAAAACGTTTCGAATCTTATGAATTTTGTCATGACCTGGCTGGCCAGCAGGGATGGCAGAGCCATTGTCAGCACAATGTAAATTATGGAGCAATTCCTCGTACCTTTTCCTCGGGAAAACATGTTTTATGCCATCAACTGAAAGAACTGTACTGTTTGACCAGTAATCATAAAGATCAGGTACTTGTTTCAAGCCCATCCTAATTGTTACTCCCAGAAATGCTCTTATTTCCTCAGCAGAAGTGTCAACCCAATGGACAGCTTCTTTCCCACGTGCATATCGGTTGGTTTCTGTAACCAAAACTTCTATCAAATCCGGTGTAAAAAAGCGATTAAATATATCTCCAGCATTTTGTTCATCGCCAACAACGAAGGTTGGGCCAAGATGTTTTCGAAAAGGAGGGAGGTCTTCCACTTCAAGTTCTTCATCTGACCACAACACAGCTCCGCTTTCATCATGTTCAACCAGTCGATCGATCAACTCTTGTTTTCTGCCTGTTTTTGAAAGATTTCTTCGACCCAACTCTTCTTTGAGTCGCTGAAGTGTCCACTCGTGATAGTTTGATTCTTCTTCCTCATCCGTTTCCTCATTTTCAGGCTGCAGAAGTTCATCAAGCACATTTTCTTCATCACTTTCGTCACTATAGTAAACAGACGCCATTTTGATTCCGGATAGTTGAGGGTAACCTGTGAACTAGTTTCCCCAGTCTCCTGCGTTCATTTCGTGACACAAGAGCTCTTGCAAGCCAAAATTTCGGAAAATTTTTAGGTCAATATAACTGTGTTTAATCTCAGTGCTGAAAAACCCTACAGGGGTATATTTCTTTAAAACCGTTTTTTTAAATATCTACCTCTTGGCTGCCAACAGTGAAAATTTCAAACAAAAATCTTAAAAACTGATTTTTTTACAATTTTTTGAAAATTCCTTGTAAAATGTCTCAAAAAAAACTTGGTGGTTTTAGGGTTAAAAGTGGTTTAGGGTTAGCTCCTCTGCAGAGAAAGCCGTTTTCTTGGAGGGCGTTTCAAAGTCAGGTCTGGGCTCTTCCGCTGCACTGGGCTCTTCCAAACATTTTCAAACCGCTGGGTTTGCAAATAAATATGAATGTGAAGCTTGCTTAAGGTTTGTCAAATTCCTCATTTTAAAAAAGAATTTTTTTTCATTCCCTATCCAGATTTGTTCTTGATGTAGTTTCTAAAGAAACTAGGTTGCCACTCTTTGGATTTGAGGATTGCTGTTAAGAAATAAAAAATCCCATCATCCTGTTTTATTCAAAGCTCCTGGTTCCTCATGAAAAATCACCAGGATTGTCTGGAGTAAAGATATTAAGGAAGATAGCACTAACACATGGGGTAACAGTCTTTACAGTTTTTTATGGTGTTTTGTGGACAAAATGATGACTCGATCTAATTCATTAGATGGTGAAGTTCACTAGAGCATGTTTTAAAAGCTTCATCCTGATTAACTTAAGATTACTTCTGTTTGTGTTCTTATATTGATTTCTCAACCCACCTCTTGCTACTGAGACAGAGTCATTTATCAGACGGTAGACTGAATGCTGAATACAGAATTCTCTGACAACCTTTCTCAGGGAAGTCTCATCACCTTCGTCGCCAGTTACCCAGTACTTGGAAATGGTGGAGATTTTATGATTTGGTGGCTGATTTGTAGCCTAGAGATAGAGAAATGATCTACACCAAAAGATGGTGTGATATCATGGAAGAAGATAATGATTAGGGCCGGTTTATGCTTTCTGCCACTTCTGTCTCAATAGAATTTTACTTCCCCCTACTCCCAAAAAAGAAAAAAGAATAGTATGGTACCTAGACCAACTGGATTTAAGAAAAGCGAAGAATGACTTACAGAAACCAAGGCTAGGGAAAACTTGAAGGGAGTAGTAGGAAAAGGGGCTTTCTGTCACATTTTTCAAAATTGCTTGGAAAAACATGGCGTTTTTGAAAACTCAATTGCCTTGAAAACAGGGCAATTTAATGTGTCAAAACAACCATGTTTCAAGGCAATTTTGAAAAAATGATGTTATTCTCACTTGAAAAAGAACAGCGATGATTTTAAAGGAAAATGATTGTTGCAGTTTTTTCTTTGAAAAATCAAAGCAAAATTTAAGAAGTTTGAGATTACATTGATTTTCAAGACAATCTCAAAATGCATTTGAACCATCAGAGAAAAGTAATGACAATTTCTCAGAATTAATCTCAATAAACTCATGATCGCATTATCAATAAGTCACACTTTGAAGCTCTCTGTTGACAATGTTGAGCTGAGCATCGGAAAGAATGAAGATGTGACATTTAACGTTTCCTGAATCCGATCCTTTCCTGTTAATTGCAAGATGAACTCCATCTTTTGTATTCTTCAATCTCAATCCTGAGCCGTGAAGATCAAATTCTCTCGTGCTTCTAAGATCGATAAAGAGACAGAATCTGTCTCCAGCACAAAAGTCTGTTGCATTTATCGTG